AGAAAGACTTACTGTGAAGAAGCCGCTGGTGAAGCAAACTTGGGTGGTTTGGGGGCTGTTGTGTTGAGATGGAGGAGGAGAAACTTGAGTGACTGTTGCTTTCTCAGAACACAGACGGCAGCAGACTGGATCACAGAGCAGCGGCCGCAGATGCCTGCAAGCACCAAGTGCTGAGAAATGGCAAGGGCCGCGGTTCTGGGAAGGCAAGGAGGGGGTACTGCCGTGCTCTTTGCATCTCAGTGGTAGTCATTCCCTCACCGGATCTGTCAGGGGCAATATGTCTAAGAAAAACAGCTCGGATCTCTCACCCGAGCGCCTTCGACAGTTTCCAGAGCGTTTCAGCGTGGCTGGCGGCGGATCCCCCTCGCAGCTGGGTGGCGAGTCCCCCGGCGGTGCAGCTCCGCGGTGGCGGGCCGTGAAACTCCACCTGGCCGGCACACACCTGACACTCGGGTGCTGGCCAAAACCTCTCAGGAGTGAAGCAGGTGGGGTCAATCTCCCGATCCCGCCACCGAACTAGTTTGAGATGTGTTGCAACACCAAAGGACCAGTTCCAGACAGGGAGTCGCTTCTCCTTTTGCTAGAAAGAGCGCTTCAGTGAGAAAGGAATCACTTTCCAGGTGTGCAGGCTCCGCTCACCTCCTCTCCCCACCCCCACCCCTTCCCCCACCTCTTCTCAGAAGGGGAAAATCCTTCCCTTTGAAAGGGAGGAGGGGAGGCAGCCAGCGAGAAGAGCCCACAGAGGGGAGCCCGGACGATGTTTATTCCCCAGTCCCAGCCCACCTCTCAGGAAACTGCTTTTGAAATTCCGACACTGAAGTGTGGGGAGCTGGCCTTTTTTATAGTGGAGATGGTTGACAGTAAAAAACTTATCCATGGGCCAGTGTTAATTCTTCACCTGGCTGGCAGGAACCTGCAGGCCCCCAACCAGGAAATGCCTGTTCGCATCAGCTTGATGAGAGCAGAGCTTGCTTAGAGGAGGGTGAAGCAGAGGAAGTCACTCATTTCACCTGTTTTTGGGGGGAAACCAAGTCACCACACTGAAAGAAACCATCCACTTGAGATTTAATCCACTCTCTTCATTCAGTTTGAAGTAGGCAATCGAATGCCAGTTCAAGATCCTGTAGTTGCAAACTTTGCTCCGTATTTGTTGTCGTTCCTTCTCCAAAGCATTTTTCAAAGCCGTCCTTGTTTTGATTGTACAGTTGATGAATTTTCTGAAGTCAAAGCTAGTCATGTGCTGGTTGGCTGAGCGTATAATAAGTGGAGCCAGACGTACTCATTATCCCTCCACCGCTAACCCC